CAGGAACCCTCCTTGCCTGGTTAGAAGTAATATTAGTAGATCCAATTAAATGAGTAATTCTACACAAGCTGTTTCGTTAGCTGAAAAAGAAATGACTCGTAGATCTCGGAAAAATTCACAGGAACTTCAAGATTCGTGATGAAATGGGCACATTCGCGCTGTCTGCCCTCCCACGGGGAATCAAGTGTGCAAGCAGCGCCGGGGACAAGACTAGTCCTGTTGACTTCAGGGAGGCAGCATGCAAAGGCAGAGGCGTACTCTTCTGCCAGATATTAGTAAAGGCTATTATTAGGTCTAAACTATCGTTGCTCGTCAGTATGACTCTTGGGCCAGGTGGGCTGCAGGTAACATCAGTAATGAAAGAGAGAGACACCAGCCGTGCTCATGGTCCAGGGCACAAAGAGCCTTCCCACGACCTCCTCTTTCCTCAGGTTACACACTCTTTCACGTAAAGCAAGGAATTACTTGAATCAAAAGGATGAAAACACCCTAACAAGCCTCTCCAATTCAAGAGCGCAAAACTGTGGAAATATGACCCGCGCCATGAGAAATCCCACAGGATTACATCAAAGGCCAGGCAAAGACACGTGTCAATCTGAAGAGTAATTTGAGAGTTACATATCTGAACAATGGGAACCAGCGCCTGAACCGTCGGAGGGAGGTATTTTCCGTGCCCCAAGTCATTCCGGTTTGGGATATATTCCTGTCAGCGCAACTTTGAAGGGAAGGTTGCTGCTGCTATGTCCTAAATAAAGCAAAATTAGCAAAGTCTGTTGCTAGCGTCCTCAAAAGACGTTTGTACCTGTTTGTCTGCTTTCTACAGGGGTCTAAATATCCGTCTGAAGAAAAAAAGTCTGTTGCTTTTATTCCTCTGGGAGCAAACACAGCAAGGTGCTAGAGTCTCAGATCTTTCTTTGTGCTACAAGGCCGTTAGAGTGCTGACGTGGAAAAAGTTACCCATATTTGCAGATATGAGAAATTGGAAAGTGAGAAAAGTATAAGCTGCGAAGACAGAAACTGAAATGAATGCAAATGGGGAGTGAGGTGAAATTTAAAAAAAAAAAAAGAAAGTCAGAAATAATAGAAGAGAAAGAAAAATGATTTACTAAATTCTGCCTGAAAGCTTTGTCACAGCTAATTTAAAATATTCAGAATCTTCTTTCATTTATAGAGAGCTGATAAAGGAATAAGCTAAATTAAAAGCCACCAGCTTATTAAGAAAATTAAAAATGCATGAAATTAACAATATTTTTACAGTCATTGGTATGAAGCTGTCTAAAATCCAGTGGAGCAGCAACGACAAAGGACTGCTTTTGACAACAATTACCCACAGAGTGTTTGATAATTTATTCTGAAAAGAAAGAGATGTTTAATAGTAACAGAAGAAGAGGAATATTGTACTTTGTACTTCTAGGATGAAGTATTTATCAAATTCAATGCTTACATTGTCTCCATGTAGATAAACTGATTTGTCCCAACAGCCAGCCACGTCAGGACTATTCAATCAATCCAGCAGCTGCAGAACAGCCAGAGGCCATAACGCAGCAGAGGGGACTTCACAGCAGAGGATTTCACAAGTTTGTTAATTTCTTTTTTTTCTTCTGCACACATGCTTATTTCAATACAGACATGTACATACGAGCTCAAACATTTCTACAGAGAACATCCAAATTCTTTCCTAACCGTAGCAGTCTATTAACAGGAGTCTGGCTGCAGTTTGCACAGACTTCCAAGATAAAACCAACCCAAAAATAAAAGGACACAAACCCTTAGTAACCCTCCTCTAAAGTAACACCCCATGATGTTTCTAGTAAATTGACTCTACCGCTCAGCGACAAACCCATTCGCAGTTCTGCAAGCCTATTTTCTCTTCAAACAGAACAGTTTACACACACAATATTTTATTTCACACAGCAGAGATGGAGTCAGAAGCCTGGAACAACACCGCACGCATTAACGGCCTTGCCTAAAGCCCGCTGGTTTTAGCGGGGATTTGCACCCCTCAATAAAGACAATGCAAAAACCTGCCGCCCAGCAGATTAACGTCAGCACAACACATTGTTGGGCTGGGAACGCTGGTTTGGGTCTGGGGCTTTGTGTTCTGCTCAATGGGTGGCAAAAGGCAGCCATCCCATATTGCTTTCAAGCAACTTTAGCTGCACCCGGTCAGCTTTGCCTACCTCATGAGGGAGCAATATTTGCTTTTTCCTTTGCCTGAAAGGATCAAAAGGCACTAAAAAAAAAAAGATTAAAAAAACGTACCCATGAAACCTCCCAGATGCCACGTTGAGAGAGAAAATGATGCAAAATAATATAGGGGAGGACATGTTTGTTATTGTTGACAAGGTACAGCCTATAGGGCAGAGTGGATTTTTTTTTTATGTCATTGTTTTATATCAAAATAGCTTTCATGGTAGCCACTGGAAAGATTCAGGCTCGTATCATATGGGAGAATAAGTAAGGCACACGACCATCCTTGTCGAGTCCATTAGACATGGTCTTCTGAAGAGGCTGGAGAGTCTCAGATCTAGATGTCAAGATCAAGGAATTCTCCTCTAATTCTTGGTATAACGGATACAAAGATATTATCTCCCAAAGTTTTCGGGTGACTTTTCACTTCTTTTCTAATCTGTAGGTTAACTGTTTCCAATCCTCCCAAGCTTAAGTAGCAGTGCTTTGCGTTAACAACCGAACCTCATTACAAATCCAACAAAATCAAGGAATCTCGGCCATTCTGGTACCTTCCACACCGGCTTTTATCAGGGGGCAAAGTCCCCCCCCCAGCAGCGCTCGGCCAAACACGTTCTTGCAGCTCCGTTCAAGGGAGTGCAGAGGGCTGCCCCATGCAGGCCAACCACCTCCGACCCACGGCCCACAGCACACATTAACTTTATTTCATCAGCGGCTGATTATGGCACTCCTCCTCTTACGAAACAGAGCTGGAGTCCAGTTTACACTTCATATTGCAATCACTTGACACAGAATTGCACCCCGCAACCTCTGACAACCTTCCCCATGTTTTATCCATCGTAGCTCACAAAAGTATCATTTCGGTTTAAGCGGTTGTTATCGGAGCGTGTCACCGTGGCCTTTCATTCCATTGTAAACATCCTCTACATTTTTAACTCAGCGCTTCAATAACCGTCTCAATTTTTTTAATTTTCATGTTTAGGCTCGAAGCAGGTAAAATGCACCTTCCTCTAATAAGCTTTATAAAAAGAAACATTGCAATTCCCAGTTCCTTGTCCCACCTTGCCTTAAGGCCCATGGAAATAACTTGCTTTTTAATTACAACCTTACACTGCCGCCTGCCATTTATTTGCTTGCAGAGCTCAGTTACGTTTTTTTCCTCTTCCACTATCTGCAACTGAGCTTGTCGACTATTATTAGACTTGAAAAGTCACTCAGCTGCCAAAGGAGCAAGTACTCTGAGTTTGACAAATTTAATAGGATTAGTTCTTTCAGTAAGGACATCACTAGCAAAAGGGACCGTTCTCAGCTCTGTACTAAAACACATCTATTTTATGCTATATTTGAGCAAGTTATTAGTTATCACCACGGTAATTTTGGACCTTTCAAGCCTTCTGTCATTAATCCTCTTCATAGACTGAACACTTGGAAGGAGATCGGCTCTCTTACAGTTATATTCATGTGAATAATCCCGACAAAACAGATCAGAAACTGCCCGGACTATAGCGCCCTCAGTACACATTTTGGCTGTGGTCCCCGCATTGAGAAACCTTATATTTTTCTGCTATGACATTTAAAAATAAATGACTTGCCTCCGTGCAGGCCATCGGTCAGCTGGGGGCTCAGCCAGTGATATTATACAATAATCACACGGATAAGGAAGTATAGAAAACGGCACGGGGTTGTTTCCATATGAAAACTCCTGAAAACACTCCACGTGTCCTGAAGAAAACGTGTGTGTTGAGGAGGATCTTTCAGATAACCCAAAATCCCGTCTGTCGGGGACGGAGACACCCCCTCTCAGGGGCATTAATGGGGGCCGTTACCCGCAGGATCTCCCCGCAGACGGAGGCACGGGGGGGTGACAACCGGGGCCGTGCTCCCCACGTTGCTGGAGCTGCGGCACCCCCTTTCACTCCACCGCCGCCTCGGCGACAACCCACCCCGGGCCCCGCACACCCGCCGGCTGCCGTCCCCGCCGCAGCTCTCCCTTCCAGCCCGCCCGGTAGCGGTACCGCCGGCAGCGGGACGGCCCCGCCGCCCGCCTCCACGTGTGTCCGGCACCGCCGCCGCCGCCGGGAGGGAAGCGCGGTCCCGCGGCGG